TTACATGGCTGGAGATATTAGAGCAACAGAGAAGGTCGAAAACAGAGAACCGACATTTCTTGAGAAACAGGTACGCCCAGACAATAGAAGAATCGGTAAAACCTCAGGTACTTCCTTTGAAATTAAGAAGAAGTTTCAAATTGCTAGAACTGTCTCTTTTCCAAAATGAAATTAATAAAGTTCCATGAAAGCATATACAATATAAAAACTTTTACTATTGCTTATAAATTTATAGGCAAAGTAATTTATTTATTTCTTCCAGCTGAATTAAGCCACTGAATAATTATCACGCCTTTAACACCTCACCTCCTTGACCAATGAGGGCTGTTCATAAATATATTAAGTAGTCCAGGCATTGATTCAATACAAGTTAAGGAGGTAAGCGTTAATTTTCGCGATTTAACTCCTAACCCATGTTGCACCCTATATATTGACACACCTTCAAGATCAGTTCTACCCCCCCTTCGAAAGCCACGAGGAGGGTGTGGGGTTCTGTTATTATTACATATGTTCAATATTTTATTATTTCATATTGATGAAAGAAAGTGCAACAAACCGGGATGAAATTTAGGTCGGGAACCCCATTGCCCATTAATATGTTCCTAGATAGTCAGGATAGTGTTACGCCCTAGGAACGCGTGTCAGTGTCGAACGCGTGTCACTGTCTGTGTGAAAATAAAATAATCAGACGTCTAATCTGAATCACTGTCCGAATAAATAACTCGTGGACGTTTAGTTGGGGTCACGACAGAACCAGAACTTGAACTGGACGACTATGATACATAGTTTATGTTGAAGTTAAAAGTTCCTCCACAGAATTGTGCATTGGCAAACATGCCGTGCAACTGCGGTACTGCGGCACTGACGGTATGACTTTAGTCGACCGCGGTTGTCGCTGAGCTGCACGCTAGAACTTCGTTTGTGATGTTGCTTGCTGGTCGTGGATTGAATGAGCCTTGGTTACCGGTTAAAATTTTGCTTGTTTGGCGTTCGTAATCTTTATTTGGAACTGAGTAACGCCTCAACGTCGCCAGCAGAAACCTCCTGGTATCTCGATGTTGGTGGATGGGGGGATCTTTCGAGAGCCCTTCAGAGTTTATAAAACTCAGTTTCCAGGTGGTCAACATATATTAAGTTCTCCCAATCGTAGTATTCCATGTGATGTACACCTAATATACAAAAATCTTGCTGAACGATTTGAACCGGACAAAAATAGCAGACGAAATTTGTTTACAAAATAAAAATAGTTCGATTGCCAATGGAATAACCATGTTTATTTGCATATCGACCGTGAAAATACCGAAAACATTATTAAATGGGTGATATGCAAATTAGTTTTAGTCAAAATAAGTGACTGCCTAAAAGTACCATTACTGTTGTTCAAATTTCATTTCACTCGGCAAGTATATTCATGTACCGCAAGGAAAGATATCGTACTGCCAAATATTGTTTATTTCTGTTATGTTTTGAAAAACGGTACCCCTGAACTTTGTTTGCTCCCAAACCCAATTTGCATATGGGTGTGGAAATACCGATTTTGATTTCAAGGACGAATCAAAATAAACTGCAGTAGATATGTAATAAGGACTATTATTTGACACATGACAAGCGCGGCAAACCCGTTGTTATTCAATTCAACAAAACGTCACTCCGTACTCACTTTTGACCCTCTGACTATCAATACAACCGGGTAATGACACCATCCAAAAAGTGTCAAGTAGTCAATAATGCCATCTTTTTTGCGATGACAAATATGAAATTAATACGCAAGAAGTTAAAACAAGTGTATCTATATCACCAGTGATAAAACATTCACGCTCACAACAGTGTGAATACAAATGAGGCCTTCATGTTTAACCACAGTCAGCTGACGTGTATCCACGGGAATTTACATTGATCTCCACGTAGAGGGCGTTTGCTTCAGTATGCTGCCCGCACTTCGGGTTCTCATCCAAGACTGTAAATACAGTAGATATATCGAATATATTGGAGCTAATGAATATTAACGAGCAAGAAAACTAGAGGAGGCATATATGACTTTTAATTTCATGGAAATGTGTCACTTGAATGTTCACTATATCCAATTTGTCGCATGCCTTTATAGCCAGACGGAGACGGACTGAGCCGAAAAATCTTTTGAACGTTTGCTCCGAATATCCACGGACGAATATTCATCAGACTAAAAATTATTATTCATGAATCAAACGTTTGTTCTGGTCGAATATCCACGAGACTAATAATTGAGCTCGTGTTTGCATCTATGCTTCACGCACTTTGTGTTTATTTTGTCTATAATATCGGATTTAAAATGGAATTTCAGTCTTTCTTTTTCGAAGTAATAGCTAAGCCAGGTGCCGAAACTGGTTACACATTGGACACCTATAGTCCACTTCTCGTCGCACAATATCCCATACTCACTGTTTACATTTATTTAACGTTGTTTATTTCATAGTAAAAATGAGAACATAACAAATCTTAATGATAACATGTTCACGTGCCTCGTCAAAGTAAATGCCGTATTACTTTGAATTTTGACATTTAGTACAAATAAATTAGTTTAAATTGAAATGAGAAAACTGACGAAAATAACATAAATCCTGAAAAAATTACATTTAATCGTAATACATTATTTGCAAATTAGCAATATCGAGTATTTCATATATACTGTGTTTTATATTCAATAAGTAAAAGAACGATCATATTGTTTTGTTTTATTCTATTTAGTATCCATAAGGTATATGTCCCGAGGAGTGTAATGGCGTTGACGTCATCGATCCAAATCCATCAGTAGCCCAATCATATCGCATCACATCTTGACATTTTCCGTAATTATATGCAAATAAACTGTAGTATGGTGATGGATTGTTCATCGATGCAAACTTCGAATAATACACACTGTCTCTATTGAACATTTCCCGTGATGACCCGTGTTTTATGGCAGGCGTAATTTCTGCTCGGGTAAAATTCGAATTTAACAGTTTACAATCGTCCACTATTTTTCTTCGTTTGAATGCCGGCTCCCCCGCTCTCGTTGTCGTCGCATGAACGCTTCTTTTCACCACAGCTTAAATCCCAAAGGTTGCTCCGGTGGCCCCGGAATTTGGCCCTCTTGTCTTTGGAGAAATACATGGTTCTAGAGTGCGCAGGAACAATAGGGTAGTAGTGATGCATATATGGTGGGTAATAATATGGGTTATATTCATAATAACTATTAAAACCGGGTGCTGGTGATTCTGCATCTTTATGAGTGGATGTAGGCGTAGATTCGCCACTGAAATGTGCTCGAGGAGAGGACTGAAGAATTGAATCCATGGTAAACAAGCTAACTTGTCTATTTGTGAGAGTAGAAGATGTGGGCGGTGGTGTCACGGTTGTCTCTTGCCTTCCCTCTTTTGCTGACATGCTATATCCATAGCCTTCCTCTTTTACATGCACTGTATTGTTCCTTTCACGTCGGTACTTGGCACGTCGGTTTTGAAACCATCTCTGAAAAGATAAAGAAATGAAATTATCACCTATTGCATATGTACGAATGGGGTGTTGTTTGAATTCGTCGTCATGGTAACTGCATGGGACTCCTCCATGCGTGCAGGTGACACTCAGCGCCAGAATTGTGTATAAATTAACAATATTTCTAGTAGTGTACATACCGTGATTGTGTCAAACTCCAACTCCAGTGCATCTGCTATTTTTTGTCGCTGAGCCGGGTCAGGATACTGTTCCTGTTCGAATACTTGTGTGAGTCCAGTAAGTTGGTAGGCATAGAAAGTTATTCTACCACGGCCAGTTCCTTTCTGTCTTTTTCTTCTGACGTTATCTGTAGACATAATAAGTCAATTAGTGGTGGGACTGGAAGGCTAAATATGAAATTAATATTTGTAATACTAATACATAATGTTAGTGACACACTTTTAGCAAAACACAATTACGAATACTTACCGTCTACACTGGACGATGAGTTACTAAGACTCGGGCTGTCGTCTCGGGTACATTCATCATCATTTCCAGTTATTGGTCCCGATGAGGACAATAACGAACTAACAGAACTTGGAGTTGAACACCGACTAGATGACCCTGGAGACACGGCATACAATGACGTTGGGGAGTCATGGATAGAATCAGACATGGCTTTAAAGCGTTCTTAAATTATTTGACACAGAAACTGTTATGTTCATCGAAGGTGGGTTTGAACTGATCTTGAAAGTGTGTCATTATATAGGGTGCAACATGGGTTAGGTGTTAAATCGCGAAAATTAACGCTTACCTCCTTAACTTGTATTGAATCAATGCCTGGACTACTTAATAGATTTATGAACAGCCCTCATTGGTCAAGGAGGTGAGGTGTTAAAGGCGTGATAATTATTCAGTGGCTTAGTTCAGCTGGAAGAAATAAATAAATTACTTTGCCTATAAATTTATAAGCAATAGTAAAAGTTTTTATATTGTATATGCTTTCATGGAACTTTATTAATTTCATTTTGGACAAGAGACAGTTCTAGCAATTTGAAACTTCGTCTTAATTTCAAAGGAAGTACCTGGGGTTTTACCGATTCTTCTATTTTCTGGGCGTACCTGTTTCTCAAGAAATGTCGGTTCTCTGTTTCGACCTTCTCTGTTGCTCTAATATCTCCAGCCATGTAAACGCACAAAATATAATCTCCTTTTAATTAGTGGGAGCACAATCTAGCTATAATCTATAGAGTGACTGGGGTGGGAGGAGCAATGGTCCCACAAAATGATGATACCATGTAAACTTAGCATATGTGTGATCCCGTGATTAATTTAATTGTCTTTTATATATTATTACGACTTAGATTGCTACTCTGAAGTAATAACACCGTGACGATAATAATAAGTCGTGTTGACGATTTTCCACCAGCAAGAACAAATCTTAAAGTTGAATTTACCCAGGATTTACTCGAAATGGAGATAAATACTTGCACATGATTACCACACATATAAAACAAAATGGTCAGACGTTTCGTTTGCTTTGAATTAATTATAATCGATTTACAAATTGTTATGCTGGTCTTTTAATTCATGCCACCACAGTAGAAGGACTGCGATGCTACTAAATATACTGCTATTGTTTGTATACTGCCCCCATCGGTATGTACCCGTTATAGGTGTTGTCGAACCCATGGTGTATTGTTTTCATGAAAATATGAATATAGAGCGTGACAGAACCCCACACCCACCCCGTGGCTTTCGTTGCGTTTGGAAGTTATTTTCGAGTGATGCGTATCTGTTAACCGACTTAATTAGTTGATTACGAGCGAATTGCTGTGTTATGTCCGTCATCGTTTAGGTCTATTTGAAGTTTTGAACGGAACTTGGCTCAGTGATTTGGAACTAATTACCAGATATCCGTCGCGATTCTGACAGTTGGTATCCATAGTTATTAATGTAGTGAACGATTAATCAAAAGATATGACGTATTCAGTACTTAGTGTGATTGGCTTTATGATTGAAGGTTACGCCCTAGAGTCTTTTTACTGCTTTGTAATTGGTTAGAGTTTTGAAAATGAATAAAGAGAGTCCTGGGTAGTCGAGAGTCCAGTCCAGGGGCGAGCATTGAGGCAGTCCAGTCTTGGGCGAGTCTTGGTTCAGCCTTGTGAGAGTCTTGGGGATTTTTCCCCAGGGCGCTGTGTTTTATAGAGTGCTCGATTGACCGACTAAGACGAGAGCTGAAACGTATTTCGTTGTGTGTGCCTTATTTGACTGTAAAGTTAAAGTGACTTTCCCGATCCCGTACCTCAAGGGGACGAGATAGAGAGACGAGACGAGATTCCCCCCTGACAAGTGTGGAGAACCCCGAGAGAGAAGATTTTCAATATTTTATTATTTCATATTGAAGAAAGAAAGTGCAACAAACCGGGATGAAATTTAGGTCGGGAACCCCATTGCCCATTAATATGTTCCTAGATAGTCAGGATAGTGTTACGCCCTAGGAACGCTTGTCAGTGTCGAACGCGTGTCACTGTCTGTGTGAGAATAAAATAATCGGACGTGTAATCTGAATCACTATTCGAATAAATAACTCGTGGACGTTTAGTTGGGGTCACGACAGGACCAGAACTTGAACTGGACGACTATGATACATAGTTTATGTTGAAGTTAAAAGTTCCTCCACAGAATTGTGCATTGGCAAACATGCCGTGCAACTGCGGTACTGCGGCACTGACGGTATGACTTTAGTCGACAGCGGTTGTCGCTGAGCTGCACGCTAGAACTTCGTTTGTGATGTTGCTTGCTGGTCGTGGATTGAATGAGCCTTGGTTACCGGTTAAAATTTTGCTTGTTTGGCGTTCGTAATCTTTATTTGGAACTGAGTAACGCCTCAACGTCGCCAGCAGAATCCTCCTGGTATCTCGATGTTGGTGAATAGGGGGATCTTTCGAGAGTCCTTCAGAGTTTATAAAACTCAGTTTCCAGGTGGTCAACATATATTAAGTTCTCCCAATCGTAGTATTCCATGTGATGTACACCTAATATACAAAAATCTTGCTGAACGATTTGAACCGGACAAAAATAGCAGACGAAATTTGTTTACAAAATAAAAATAGTTCGATTGCCAATGGAATAACCATGTTTATTTGCATATCGACCGTGAAAATACCGAAAACATTATTAAATGGGTGATATGCAAATTAGTTTTAGTCAAAATAAGTGACTGCCTAAAAGAACCATTACTGTTGTTCAAATTTCATTTCACTCGGCAAGTATATTCATGTACCGCAAGGAAAGATATCGTACTGCCAAATATTGTTTATTTCTGTTATGTTTTGAAAAACGGTACCCCTGAACTTTGTTTGCTCCCAAACCCAATTTGCATATGGGTGTGGAAATACCGATTTTGATTTCAAGGACGAATCAAAATAAACTGCAGTAGATATGTAATAAGGACTATTATTTGACACATGACAAGCGCGGCAAACCCGTTGTTATTCAATTCAACAAAACGTCACTCCGTACTCACTTTTGACCCTCTGACTATCAATACAACCGGGTAATGACACCATCCAAAAAGTGTCAAGTAGTCAATAATGCCATCTTTTTTGCGATGACAAATATGAAATTAATACGCAAGAAGTTAAAACAAGTGTATCTATATCACCAGTGATAAAACATTCACGCTCACAACAGTGTGAATACAAATGAGGCCTTCATGTTTAACCACAGTCAGCTGACGTGTATCCACGGGAATTTACATTGATCTCCACGTAGAGGGCGTTTGCTTCAGTATGCTGCCCGCACTTCGGGTTCTCATCCAAGACTGTAAATACAGTAGATATATCGAATATATTGGAGCTAATGAATATTAACGAGCAAGAAAACTAGAGGAGGCATATATGACTTTTAATTTCATGGAAATGTGTCACTTGAATGTTCACTATATCCAATTTGTCGCATGCCTTTATAGCCAGACGGAGACGGACTGAGCCGAAAAATCTTTTGAACGTTTGCTCCGAATATCCACGGACGAATATTCATCAGACTAAAAATTATTATTCATGTATGGGCGCTTACTTCCACCATGCTTCACACACTTCGCAATAATATTCATTACCCTGAATATATCAAATATATTCGTTATGTGGAATATTTTAGGGCCAGAGACCGGAAAAAAAACCCGACTGAATCAAACGTTTGTTCTGGTCGAATATCCACGAGACTAATAATTGAGCTCGTGTTTGCATCTATGCTTCACGCACTTTGTGTTTATTTTGTCTATAATATCGGATTTAAAATGGAATTTCAGTCTTTCTTTTTCGAAGTAATAGCTAAGCCAGGTGCCGAAACTGGTTACACATTGGACACCTATAGTCCACTTCTCGTCGCACAATATCCCATACTCACTGTTTACATTTATTTAACGTTGTTTATTTCATCGTAAAAATGAGAACATAACAAATCTTAATGATAACATGTTCACGTGCCTCGTCAAAGTAAATGCCGTATTACATTGAATTTTGACATTTAGTACAAATAAATTAGTTTAAATTGAAATGAGAAAACTGATGAAAATAACATAAATCCTGAATAAATGACATTTAATCGTAATACATTATTTCCAAATTAGCAATATCGAGTATTTCATATATACTGTGTTTTATATTCAATAAGTAAAAGAACGATCATATTGTTTTGTTTTATTCTATTTAGTATCCATAAGGTATATGTCCCGAGGAGTGTAATGGCGTTGACGTCATCGATCCAAATCCATCAGTAGCCCAATCATATCGCATCACATCTTGACATTTTCCGTAATTATATGCAAATAAGCTGTAGTATGGTGATGGATTGTTCATCGATGCAAACTTCGAATAATACACACTGTCTCTATTGAACATTTCCCGTGATGACCCGTGTTTTATGGCAGGCGTAATTTCTGCACGGGTAAAATTCGAATTTAACAGTTTACAATCGTCCACTATTTTTCTTCGTTTGAATGCCGGCTCCCCGCTCTCGTTGTCGTCGCATGAACGCTTCTTTTCACCACAGCTTAAATCCAAAGGTTGCTCCGGTGGCCCCGAATTTGGCCCTCTTGTCTTTGGAGAATACATGGTTCTAGAGTGCGCAGGAACAATAGGGTAGTAGTGATGCATATATGGTGGGTAATAATATGGGTTATATTCATAATAACTATTAAAACCGGGTGCTGGTGATTCTGCATCTTTATAAGTGGATGTAGGCGTAGATTCGCCACTGAAATGTGCTCGAGGAGAGGGCTGAAGAATTGAATCCATCCTAAACAAGATAACTTGTCTATTTGTAAGAGTTGAAGATGTGGGCGGTGGTGTCACGGTTGTCTCTTGCCTTCCTTCTTTCGCTGACATGCTATATCCATAGCCTTCCTCTTTTACATGCACTGTATTGTTCCTTTCACGTCGGTACTTGGCACGTCGGTTTTGAAACCATCTCTGAAAAGATAAAGAAATGAAATTATCACCTATTGCATATGTACGAAAGAGGTGTTGTTTGAATTCGTCGTCAGGTAACTGCATGGGACTCCTCCATGCGTGCAGGTGACACTCAGCGCCAGAATTGTGTATAAATTAACAATATTTCTAGTAGTGTACATACCGTGATTGTGTCAAACTCCAACTCCAGTGCATCTGCTATTTTTTGTCGCTGAGCCGGGTCAGGATACTGTTCCTGTTCGAATACTTGTGTGAGTCCAGTAAGTTGGTAGGCATAGAAAGTTATTCTACCACGGCCAGTTCCTTTCTGTCTTTTTCTTCTGACGTTATCTGTAGACATAATAAGTCAATTAGTGGTGGGACTGGAAGGCTAAATATGAAATTAATATTTGTAATACTAATACATAATGTTAGTGACACACTTTTAGCAAAACACAATTACGAATACTTACCGTCTACACTGGACGATGAGTTACTAAGACTCGGGCTGTCGTCTCGGGTACATTCATCATCATTTCCAGTTATTGGTCCCGATGAGGACAATAACGAACTAACAGAACTTGGAGTTGAACACCGACTAGATGACCCTGGAGACACGGCATACAATGACGTTGGTGAGTCATGGATAGAATCAGACATGGCTTTAGAGCGTTCTTAAATTATTTGGCACAGAAACTGTTATGTTCATCGAAGGTGGGTTTGAACTGATCTTGAAAGTGTGTCATTATATAGGGTGCAACATGGGTTAGGTGTTAAATCGCGAAAATTAACGCTTACCTCCTTAACTTGTATTGAATCAATGCCTGGACTACTTAATAGATTTATGAACAGCCCTCATTGGTCAAGGAGGTGAGGTGTTAAAGGCGTGATAATTATTCAGTGGCTTAGTTCAGCTGGAAGAAATAAATAAATTACTTTGCCTATAAATTTATAAGCAATAGTAAAAGTTTTTATATTGTATATGCTTTCATGGAACTTTATTAATTTCATTTTGGAAAAGAGACAGTTCTAGCAATTTGAAACTTCTTCTTAATTTCAAAGGAAGTACCTGGGGTTTTACCGATTCTTCTATTTTCTGGGCGTACCTGTTTCTCAAGAAATGTCGGTTCTCTGTTTCGACCTTCTCTGTTGCTCTAATATCTCCAGCCATGTAAACGCACAAAATATAATCTCCTTTTAATTAGTGGGAGCACAATCTAGCTATAATCTATAGAGTGACTGGGGTGGGAGGAGCAATGGTCCCACAAAATGATGATACCATGTAAACTTAGCATATGTGTGATCCCGTGATTAATTTAATTGTCTTTTATATATTATTACGACTTAGATTGCTACTCTGAAGTAATAACACCGTGACGATAATAATAAGTCGTGTTGACGATTTTCCACCAGCAAGAACAAATCTTAAAGTTGAATTTACCCAGGATTTACTCGAAATGGAGATAAATACTTGCACATGATTACCACACATATAAAACAAAATGGTCAGACGTTTCGTTTGCTTTGAATTAATTATAATCGATTTACAAATTGTTATGCTGGTCTTTTAATTCATGCCACCACAGTAGAAGGACTGCGATGCTACTAAATATACTGCTATTGTTTGTATACTGCCCCCATCGGTATGTACCCGTTATAGGTGTTGTCGAACCCATGGTGTATTGTTTTCATGAAAATATGAATATAGAGCGTGACAGAAACCCACACCCTCACCGTGGCTTTCGTTGCGTTTGGAAGTTATTTTCGAGTGATGCGT